ACACACACACACAGAGGTATTACGAGTCAAGATTTTTAGCTTAGCCCTGCACTTATCAACCAACAAACCTGTACACAAAGATCCTTTCTATCATTTCGCATGGAAGTGTACAGTTTGGCCTCTCACCACCGAACTCCCCCTGGGTGGCAAATCATCAGACACTTGTTATTAATTCTCCCGTGTTTAATCAGAGATGCTGGCTGTAGTGGGCAGCGCCGAGGATGACTGATGCGTTGCCATGTGAGACAAATTACCTGAAATTCATTCTCGACTCCAGGAATTTGTGCTCACATCCACGTATTGTTCTCATCTGGGGGGATCGGATGCAGCCTGAAATTCCATAACTTATATTCCGCACTGAGACATATTACCGTTGTGATGCAGTGTGGCACTTTTCCCTTAAAAAAGAAAAAAAAATGCCATCATGAGACTAATACACGTGTCTTATTATGCATAGGTGCAGTCCTTTTTTAGGACATTTAAAGCTCCCCTTTGCATATAAATTGGCTCCTTTATAATCCTCATTTTTTCCATGGTGAAATGTCAGAGTCCTCCATACGAATGCAATGAGCGGTGCTAACGTTTTTACACACCGTGCTGCACTGCGACATTTCTTCATACAGTTGTGATTGCTTGACCAGTGTTGATGTTTGATTACATTTGAGAAAAAAAATAAAACAAAACGAAACAAAATAATATTCCGCACCAAAAATATTGAAACAGTAAAGCCACTTCCTTGATGACTATTAGTATTTTTTTCATATATTTCCTTGTCACATAATATTGTCTTCAAGGAATATGGCATTATTTTCATCACCTGCAATTTATGACGTTATTTTCCAAATATTATTTATTTCAAGTATAATTTTCACTTTATTCTGTTAAAATATTAACTTTACTCTTGGAACAATGAGATTTTATTGTCTCCTAAAAAGACATGTTCCTGACAAATTAGGACTTTATACTAATTTCACAATTATTCAAATGATTCATCATCACGGTAAGTAATATAAACTAATTCAAATTTAATATTGTGTGTTGGTATCAGGGTGTACTAATAAAACACAACATCAAATTTAATATCACCAACTTCCTTGATTTGACTGTTGGCTGGAGACACAATTTCACTAAATCTATCAAAATACCTGTGTGCGTGCATGCGCAAATGTGTGTGTGTCTGTGTGTCTGTGTGTGTGTGTGTGTGTGTGTGTGTGTGTGTGTGTGTGTGTGTGTGTCTGTGTGTGTCTGTGTGTGTGTGTGTGTGTGTGTGTGTGTGTGTGTGTGTGTGTGTGTGTGTGTGTGTGTGTGTGTGTGGGGGTGTGTGTATGTTCATGAGCCATTTGATCACCGTGGGTCCGCAGCAGAGCAGGAGGAACAGTCAATGCCACCGGGCTATAAACAAATAATTAGTGCACAGAGAAGTGCTGCTGGGAGCCTCGGTGGCCATTGGCTCACATCGAGAATGAAAAACAGAAGCAGTGTGCTGTCGTTAACATGTAACGGGGGATCGTCAAGTGTGCGAGCAGTCCAATGACATCCGATGCAAGATGTCGTAAAGCTTGTAGCTTTACAAATGAGAATATAACTTTCTGTGTGGAGATATTGTATTCTGATAGTATACTGATGAAAATATATATTTTTTTCGTTTTTTAATTCACTCTAGCTGCAGCGTATGTGAAACTCACTCGTAAGATGAATTCTGGGTGGCAGAGCAAACTAATGAAAAAAAAAAGATCTTGCTGTGGCTGAAAAACTCACAAGTTGGGGCTCTTTTCAGTCAAGTTATCTCTGTATTCACATATTTTTCCAAATGTGTTTGCATTTTCCTATGTTTTCAGGTACCCGTTACCAACCACAAATTCCGAGACTTTTATAATACTCTGAAAAGTGACGATACAAAATACAAATATGATGCAACTAAGATGCAGTAAGTCCTGTTTTCCACACAGAATCAGATGTATTATATTCTCTCTTTGTTTGTTACTGCATATCAGTTGTTTATACAGTAACTGCACTCTCATCGATCTTTGTAAGGCCTTGTTTGAGCACGAAGTTCGAAAGACAAAGTTGTGTGGTTGAATCAGATACACACCGTGTCATGCACTTGGTTTAATGCTTATTTTTGCAGTACACTCCAACTGGGAGTGGCAATAAATATCTTGAAGCAAGCACACCGGACCTCTTTTTGAGGAACTTTTCACCTATCTGCCGAA